CCCCCCAGCTGCCTCTCCCTTACAAAAATCAATGTGAAAGAGAGCTAACACCCAGTGGCTTACCTAAAAGTTTTCTACTTTCTTCAGTCATAGGAGCTTATACACCTCCCAGCTTATCCCCATTTCCCTTTAGCCAGATGGAACACACCATACCTAAGCTGAGCCATCTTTTCCAGGCCCTCAGGACTAATGCGGTCTCTGGAGAGCAGGTTGCTGAGCTGCAGTTCTTGGTTATCGGCCACCCGAAGAAGCCTATGTAGTTCCTGTTGCTGCATGTTCCTCATGTGCTGCTCCATCTCCTCAGGACTCATGGTGCTGGCAGGGAGAGGACTACAAACATATTGTCCTGATGGTGTTGGGTAGCCTGGGTAGTAAGGCCCTGGGTACACACCATTTGTAGGGCCTACTGGGTACTGCAGAGGGTTATAGCCTGTGTAAGGATACTGGGAGGCAGGGCCTGGTGTCCGGGGGTAGTAATACGGGTTGTCAGAGTTTTGAAACTTATAGTACGATGCCTGGGCCTGGCGTGAGTCACCCCAAGATGTAGGGCTGACTTCATCATCAGTGTCCAAGAAATGTAGCTGGGGTGTCTGGCTCTTTAGAGCAGGTTTCTGATCAGGATTGTTTGGGTCCCACAACCGTCGAGTGGTGCCTCCTCGGCCCCAATTCCGAGATCCCTTACTACCAGATCCAAATAAAAGCCGAGGTCCCAAAGGGGTAGATTCTGGAGAACCAGCTGAAGTGACAGATAGGGTGGTATGGGCAGGCAGAATCAGAATGCCACGGCCACGACCCCGAAGTTCTTGTTTCAGGTTTTTGGACTCCTGCTTCTCAGAACCTTTGCCCGCACTGCTCAAGCCTTTGTCAGGCTTTATCCTACTCACATCCTCCCTGGCTGGCCTCGCCACGGGGGAATCTTTGTTCATGGTTTCTGAATCGAAAGTGACACGAAGAGTACCTCGATTTTCTTTACCGTTGCTTTTCTGCTCTCCCTCCCCACGGCCAGAACAGCTTCTTTCTAAATGTTTCTTCCTTTCTGAGCTCCTCCTGGGCCCATCGGACTCCTCAATTCTGTCCTCATCCAAGGAGTCAGTCGAGGACATAGACACTTGCTTCTTCAGTCGGGGCCTCAACCTGGTCCTATCCTGGCGGCGGCGGCGACATCCATTGTCGGTCAGGCCAGCCCCCTCAGCGCTGTTGTTGCTACCAGCTGAGCTGGTACTGCAAGTGCGGTAGCGGTTCCTTCGTTTGTCTGAGCGGGAATAGCGCTTTGCAGAGCCTGGCTTCCCCTGTGCCAGGTCTTCATTCACTTTCTTCGTCCCCTCCCCTTTTTCAACCCTCTTTCCTTTATCTCCCTTTGCAGCCCTTACTCTGTCACAATTCAGGCTCTTCTGGGCCTCATTTTTGTCTGGCTTATTTACAGCCTCCTCTGTCATGTGTCCCCGGTACTCATCTTCCCCTACTGTCAGCTGCTCCACCTGGCTGAGGATTTCTTCCTCATCCGCCCGGCTACTGGATTCTTTGCTAACAGTCTGCAAACGCCTTCCAGGCTGATAGATCTGCATGTCAGGTTTCTTCGTTTTCTTGATAATTCTTAGACTTCGATCCTCTTGTCCAGCAGTCCTAGGAAAGGACTCCTGTGCCCGAATATTTTCTGGGTCTACAGGACCGTTCTGCTGTTGGTTGTCCAGTTCCTTGCAGACCTCTTTAATGAGCTGTGTACCATTTCTAACAGCTGAAGAACCTCTGTCATCAGCAATTTCATCCTTAAGTTCATCGCTCCCAGAAGGTTCCTTGATTTTAGATTTGTTCCTTAGTCGTGAAAGACCAGGCTTATAGATTTCCAGATCAGGGCGCCTATTATCTTTGCGTTGCCTGGGCTCCTTCATGTTTTCTGTGATATTGGAAAGAGTGTTGGGGAGGAAAGGGTCGAAGAAAAGAATAGAGGAGGAGGGAAGGGGGAAAAGTGTCATTTTGGTAAAGTAACAGAAAAGTCAAGTAAGAATTACACATAAAAATGCTATTATTGGCCGTGGCTGGGTAGCTCAGTTGGTTAGAGTCTTGTCCCAATACCTGGTCAGGGCACATACAAGTATCAACAAATGAATGCATAAATAAGTGGAACAACAAATCAATGTTTCTCTCTCTCTCTCTCTCGCCCTCTCTAAAATCAGTAAAAATTTTTAAATGCTATTATTGATGGACAAGGAAGGAAATTTCTGTAGAAACAGAAATGCTACTAAGTTTAGCAACTAAGTTTGATTTGTTCAGCAACTGGCAAGGCTAAGAACTTAACTGTGAATCCATGGACACAGACAATAGTGAGGTGAAAGCCTGGGGAGGGGAGGGGACCTAGGTGAAGGGGGTCAATGGAGGAATAAAGGGAGACATCTACAATACTTTCAATAATAAAGATAAATTTTAAAGAAGAAAAAGGACTTGTGTTGGAGTTAGCTACACCTGGGATACGGAAACAAGAAGAAAAAAAATACTGTGTTACCCAAGTCATATTTGGATCCCCAAGACCCTAAACTACCCCATCACTGTCGGAATAAAAGCTCTCCAACCATTTCAGCATTATTAGACTGTTTTCTATTATAGAGCCTTCAGATCCACCTTAGTCTTTTCTTCTTCTGCCTCTAATGTTTTGCAGAGTGGCTAAGTCCTTTTAACATACTAGCAGGAAGGGGGGAAACAAAGAGTAAAAGCGGGGTATGCACAACAACCCATGGTTCTGGACATCTCTGGAGGAAAAAACTGCAAGTCCAGCCTCTGAACTTGGCCAGAACAATCTTTCTCTTTAGGATACCAATTACCCAATCATATACCTCCTGTCCAAGCAAACTAGAAGCAGTTCCCTTCACATTCTTCAACTCCACTCATGCTCACCAACTCTCTAACAGCAGCCAACAGAGTCATTCCAAGAAAATACTGCTCAGACTATCATCATTAGAATACTGAGACTAACTGCTACTATGATGATGGAATATGAGAAGGAAAAAGTTCCATAAGGAAGCTTTCCCTGGAAGACGATGGAAGCACTGTAACGTGCTCTCAAAATACCAAAGACTGGGGCACTCAAGAATAAAAGCACAGGACTTTAAAAACCCCTCTCCAAGCTCCATGACCTTACTTAATGACAGATAAGCAAGTCTCTATTTTTTGTTTCTGTTACCTTTATCTATTAAGGGGAAAGACTACTACAAATAGGTACTAAACATTTCAGTGGGAAAGTGACAGGAATTAGTGAGATCATAGAGTACACAAAATGGAATGCTATATAAAATCCTAGTATTGGTCCATACACACCGATGTAAACAAACCCTTAATAGGAATTTACACCTATGTGTATAACAAAACAGAAGGAAAAAAAAAATACAAAAAAACGCTGATGTTTAAGATACTGGTATTTTCAGAACTTTAAAAGACTGCTTGACCAAGCAGTTTAACTCCATAATAGCTCACCCTCAACAGCCTTTGTAACTTAGGTGAAGTGGAGAGAGGGAGAAGAGCTACTACTATTTTCCACAGCAGAGGGAGAAGACAACCTGAATAATCCAATTCAGTTGACCAATGAAAACCAATTTCACAAACTTTGGCCACAAGTCTGCAGAAGCAGAGCTACCATTCTACACAACTGCACTGCCTAACAAAGGAGAGGGGAGACACTAGAATCTTCCTAGGAGCTTTCCTGGTATGGCTGGAGACTTAAACTTGCAAGTTGAGCATTCTCTGTGATAAAAACAGCTCCCACACATGCCAAGACCAAACCAGAGTCGAGTCTACTCTCTGAGGTCCTGGATCCCTCCAGTGGCGCCGTCTTCAGAAGCCTGCCTTGGGGG